ACTCGGGTCTGTCCTCCGGGCCCTGGAGACTGAACCGGGTCGGGAGACTTTACTTGTACGAATAGTGTTTCCTTCTCAGATAACTGTCCTTAACCATAAAAACCTCGGCTTGAAGACAAATATTAAGGAAATGGCCGCGTGGGTGTGGCAGGGAATGGGCAGACGGCAGGTGGAAGGCCCTGGAGACCCCAGCCCCCGCCCTGAGCCAGAAGCCTGCAGCTGAGGGGAGGGGCACGGGGGGCGGGGAGCAGAGGGGGCCCAGACACCTGCCCACATGCCTGGCCAGACCACAGCACGAAGGGGACACCAGGCAGAAGGGCAGGCGGAGCTGTGGGTGAGGGTGTGCCACCCAGGGGCCCTGCCATCTCTCCAAGGGCAGCTGCGACCTCAAGGAGTTTCTTCACCTGCTCAGACGGGTGGGAGCTGGGGGTTGTCAGGCCCCGTCCACACCGCAGCGGACAGGATGGGGCACTGGTGTGGGTGCACGGAAAACAGCCCCCCTGCAGTACCCCCTGCCCAGACTCCGCCACAGGTGCTACAACCCAGACAGCCTCCCAGGCCCTGCCCCCTCCTGCGAGGGAGGAGGGGCCCCTCCTACATTAGGTTTCCCCACAAATAACCCCTTTCCTAAGCCCCCCACATCCTGTCCCAGCACCAATGCTCATCACTCCCAGCCCCATGCACGTCTGCACCCCGCAACCCTCCATGCCTTATAGTATTGATAGTATTGATTTCAGAGCAGAAGGGAAAGATATGGAAACATCAATGATGAGAATCATGGATCCGCTGCCTCCCAACCCGGCATGTGCCCCGACCTGGAATTGAACCGTGACCTCCTGGTTCATAGGTCCACACTCAGCCACCCCCATGACTTTCGGCTCTGGTGTTCCCCACCCCAGGCAGGGAGCCCAGCCCCCAGGGGCAGCATGGGCTCAGGGCACCTGGGAGTTCCCTCACTGCCCTTGTCAGGTAGCTGGTTCAGGGGATAATTGTTTTATGACCCCTCAGTAGCTGCGCTCACCCCACCCTCAGGAGTACACCTTATCTGACTCTCCCCACCAGACTTTGGGCCCGTGAACTAGGCTCCTGGTCCTGGCACACAGCTCCCCAGGGTGAGTGGGTCCCTGGCCAGCCACCCTGGGCTCTATTCCCATCTTTGCCCCCAAATGGGGCTCTGGTCTTCCCAGCCAGGACCAGGGCTTCGGGGCCAGGACCGGACCCGTAGGCAGGCTTGCCGAGGCCCCCAAATGGGCTGAGTGTGATGGGGTCCGGAGGGAGCCCCTCAACCTCTCACCATCCCATCTGGCGGAACAGAGTCCTGCAGGCTGGTTGGCTGCTGACTCTGGCAGCTCCCGTGGGGATGGGAGGAACAGCTGGCCAGGGCCAGGGCCTCCGGACAGCAGCCCAGGCCCGCTCAGGCCTCCAGCACCAAAGGGACCACCCCCTCCAGGAGGGCGGAGCCCTTGAGGCTTCAGCACCCCGCGGGATCGTCCCCTTCTCACCCAGTCCTTTATTTAAAAAGCAGGGGGCTGACGTTCTGAGTGACCACTGTAGACACGGCAGCCTGCCCTCGGTGTGTGGTGTGGGGCACAGGCCTCGTGCCAGCCCTGCCAGGCGGGCCCTTCCTCCAGAGGAGAGTGCACACGCAGGATGCCAGGCGCTGCCACTCACCAAGGGTGGTCGGGCTCGGGGGACAGACTCTGGACCCACACCTGGCTGGTCCCAGAATCTCAGTCAGCACCTGGCAACCGCCCTGCCCTTGGCAGCACACACACACACACACACACACACACCCACACACACACACACACAGCAGCCTTTCAAACAAAGACACAGAACAACCCCGGCTGGTTTGGCTCGGTGGACAGAACGTCGGCCTGCGGACTGAAGGGTCCCAGGTTCAGTTCCGGTCAAGGGCACATGCCTGGGTTGCAGGCTCGATCCCCAGTGGGGGGTGTGCAGGAGGCAGCCAGTCGATGATTTTCTCTTATCATTGATGTTTCTCTCTCTCCCTTCCTCTCTGAAATCAATAAAAATATATATATTCCAAAAAAACACAGAACAGAAAGAGGCCAGGACGCCCTTGCCATGTCCCAGGGTGGACCCAGCCTGTCTCCCATCAGAACAAGGAGGATGTCGGGGACCCCTTCCCTGGTCCCCGCTAGCCCACACCCATTCTTTAGGGTCCTGGGTGCCAGGGCCTCCTCCCAAGCATCCTGCCCAGCCACGCGCTGCCCCGGGCGGTGGGTCCCCCACCTGCAGCCCCCTCCCGGAGGCTGGAGCCTACTGGAGGCCACACATGTAATTATTTGGGGCCTCTGATTACAGCACAACCCCCCAGGTTGGCCACTCTGGTCACACGCATCTGGGGTAAGTCTGGGGGAACCCATGACTCAGCAGTCTCTGGGGTAAATAAGTTAATGGCCAGCCCAGCCAACCACCAAGCACTGCCTGCAGTTGGGCTCGGGGTCCAGCCGGCCAGCAGACCCGGCCGGGCCCGGGAGGACAGACAGCCGCCGGCCCTCACTACCCACTGAGCCCGACCCGTGAGGGTTCCCTCAGGTAAGGGCCCTGCGGGGCCTGTATGGACCTGAGGCTCCCTGGGGAGAGGAAAGGCTGGACTTCTGTGGGGGACCCTCAGGCACAAGGCCGGTGGCACTAACCAGTCCCAGGCCCTGTGGTGAGGTCTCTGAAACAGCTTCCCTCCATCCCCTAAAGGGGAGAATCACGGAGTCCACGGGGCTGTGCCCACGCCTCGCGCCCTCCACGCCCCGGGCAGTCCAGGCCCCGTGTCCTGGCCCAGCTCTCAGTGCTCTCAGCACAGGGAGTGACCCGGCGTGAGGTCACCGTGAGCGCAGCGTCAGGGGCCCAAGGCCGAGCTGAGCAGCGGGGCCGGCACGCTCGCTGTGCCGAGTGCGGGGACAGGGTTGAGCCAGACAGCAGGCACGTCCCAGCTCGCGTGTTGCACGGTGCACCCGTGTATTTTGAGGCAAAACCAGGAGCGCTGCCTCACATGTGGAAAGGGGGCCCTGCAGTCAGAACGGACAGCAAAGCAGGTGCCAGGGGGCCTGGCAGGAGGCGAGGGCTGCCGCTCCCTCCCCGGCCTCTGTCCCCCCAGGGCCACAGGGCAGAGGGGCTCGGTGGTCCAAAGGGGGCGTAGGGTGAGGGGTGAGGGCAGGGCCTGGGACTGGACAGAGGTGGATGGGGCGCGGGGGAGCCTGGGTCCGTGACAAACCT